AATGCCAGCAAGTGCATCACTATCTTTGTTATATCTTTCAAATAAATTATATCTATTTGTACTATCAGGTGAATTTATAGGGAAGTATGAAAATATCACATGGAAAACATTCCATGGATAATTAAGGTTATTTTAAAAACCTTAAGGTAGACCATGAGTGCTCAATCCATTATTTGAATTATGATTGGTGATCAAATGCACATTCTGATATCTACTGACATATGTCACATTGTCACTACTACATCATGAAAATGCTAGGAATAAAAATGCTGTTCTAAAATTGGTTAAAAAAATTGCCCCCCCCCCCAGTAACTCCATGGGAGAGGAAAGGAATGCAAAAGAGAAAGCAAGAGAGAATGTGTACAGGATATAAACGGGCCATGGATTTCAGTGACAGAAGCAACAAAAAACTAAAACATCAGTTCATTCTAATCACTGTGTCAGAAATTTAAACTGATGACACAGATTTGCATTCAGAAATTTTCATCTTATAAAAGTATATAGAGAGAATTTAGCACTGCATTTGATGTCCAATTACAGGGCATGTTCCACTACTAAATAATTTTAATGTTCATAACTTTGTCACGAGTACTCCTTTGGAGCCCTATATGATACAAAGTAGGGAGCTCTGGTAGCATAGTGCCTAAGGTACTTGACTGCTAACCAGAAGGCTGGCGGTTCAAACCCACCAGCCACTCCTCAGAAGGAAGATTGGGCAATCCTACTTCTGTAGTGATACTGCCTTGGAAACTCAAGGAGGGGTCACTATGAGTCGGGTCCGACTTGATGGCACATAACAACAACAACAACAACAACAACAACAAATAGTAAAAGAAAATGAAAATAAAAAACTATACCAGATTTCCAAAGCTTATTCAATCTTTCAACCTGTATAGGATAGGTTGGAATGTTCCCCATGTGGTTAAATATTTATTAGAATGATATGTTTTGTTTATTAAATGATTTAGAAATTAAACAATTAGATATAAACCGAATCCATCCTTCTATAAAAGGCTTTAAAAATCACTTTTAATTAATATATAATCTATTTTTATATCTTTCTGTTTTGTAGTGGTTTAATCTTTTAAATAAATTTATTTTTAAAAATACATTTGGTGACAAAGTGACTAGAACATGGATCAAAGCTGAAAAAAGATAAAAAGGATTTCACAGATGAGAGAACAGATTACTAAATAATTTCTGGAGATTATCTTTTAGAAAAGCATCATTTTAAATAAAATAATTTCCACTATTATTTTTAAATAAGTTACTGAATATTTATTATTCCATATACACAACATTTGTTTTTTTAAGATATGGCAAGGGGGACCTATTTACTGTGCCCTCTCACTGTCAACGGCCTTGTATCACCTCCTGATAGCCCAACCCCTACCAAAGGACGCGTGCACCTGCAAGGTGGCTGAATACCCCCCTTCCTTTTGAGATCCTAGATTACTTTCCAGTCCACAGTGTGATAAGAACAATATTGAGAGCAAATCTGTAAAATGTTTAGAGAAATTTGAAAATGTAACTTTATGTCTAGAGCTAAGGCTGGGAAGAGAAGGTGGCCAGTTGCAGGCTGGACCTGGGAGACAGATGTTTCTGTGCCTCCATGTTTTATCAAGGGCATCACACAGGTTCTAATATTCTAAATCCAAACTTGTTCTTCCAGGTTATTATTAAAATACATTCATCAAGGTAGGAGGATGAAACATATTTAATGGTTTATAGCTTGATTCATAACTTTTAATATTTTAGCATTTGATAGGTGAGTTTTCATTCACACTCTTGTCCTGGGAACTGCAAACACAGTGGGAGAGTCTGCAGCTGGGAAAGCTAAACTTACTAAGAAATACATTTCAAATTCACTCAAAATCATATCTGCTTCTTTGGTGGCTATAAATCCAGTAAGTACTCTAATCACAGAGTCTTAAAGTTCAAAGGAACTTTTGATCTAATTCCAACTCTGTAAAAATCTGTGAGCTGGTCATCCAGCTTCTGTTCCAGCACTAGGTGGGTGCTAGATAAGTTCTGAGGCAGTCACTTTTACCCAAGGAAAAGAGGTTTATATTTGCAGAGAAGTGTGTTTTTCCCCCAGGAGGAAGAGCATGAAGTTTGAGAAATATATTTCCTAGTTAAAGATAGACAGATATTGAACAAAGATGGGAAGCAGACAGATTTGGTGGCAGTGGGTATATCCAACATAAAAGTAAACAGAGGCATCATTTGTGCTTGATGAAAATCTTAAAAAGGATGGCAAAAATACAAATGAAAATTTAATTTCTCAAAGGTAATTGAGGTCTAATAAGAATGGTTACAAAATTATCTAAGAAGTGAATATGAAGAAAATTAGATGGTGTGTTTTCTCAGAGGTTCTTTTGATTAAATAGCGTTTATTTTTTAGATAATGCATGGTTATTTTAAAAATACATATAGTATTTCATGTCAGTGCTGAAAAATGGTTTAGGAAGACTACTGACATATTTCTTCTATGGTTATTTTGAATTTATAAAAGCATAAGATGTGCATGATCACAACAAGGTTTGCTTTGTGTATGTGCCGCCTGTTAGTGTGTGCCCACATGATCAGCAAATACGTTATTTGTGGTTTTAACCTCAAGTATTATATAGATCATGGTTAATCATTAATATGAATACTTACTAAATGTTGTCTTTTCATAGTGCCTACGGCATTTGACTGCTAATCAGAAGGCTGGTGGTTCAAACCCACCAGCTACTCTTCAGAAGGAAGACTGGGCAATCTACTTCCGTAGTGATACCGCCTAGGAAACCCAAGGAGGGGTTGCTATGAGTCAGATCCCACTCGAGGGCAGTGAGTTTGATTTTTTTTTTTGGTTTTAGAGTTGAATACTTAAGATCAAAATTCTGACCTCTTTTTTTGTGTCTTATTGGGTTACTGAAATGATTTATATCTTTATAAGTTTTCTACCTAAATTCTGTGATATTAATTAGCTCAAAGATGATATTTTTAAAGCCATGACTTTTTTTTTTTTTTTTGGTAGGTATAGGATAAACATTTCCTAATAAATATTGTTTAGGCAAAGGAACAGAAACATTTTTATTTGGGAAAAATAAATAATAAATTTAAGGATAAAAGAGTCTAAAAAAAAATATTGTAGCAGAAATCACATAGCCAAATAGCAACAGGCCCTGGAATTCAAGGCAAAGTTGCTAAGAATGTCAAGTGTAAAACCATTCAAGGAGTAGGCTGTATGAACCACTTATGGTCCCTCTAAAAGGGGCAGAATGTTACTCCAGTCGATTTTTGCCATGTAATAATCCTAGCATAGTGTTGTCATCTTTTAAAAGAAGGCCTGATTCCAGATTTTTGTACACACTTTTCAGGTTTCTAAAATATTATCAACGCCAAACAGACAGACAAGCAAACAAACAAAAACAACTGTCTGCTGATAGCTCAGCTTTGTGGCTGCCAGTTTTCAATTCAATATTTATTATTGAATCCAAGAGATCATGGACAAACCCACAAGAAGGTCAAGAAGGAAATAGAGATTATTTCTGGATGATAATGGTCTAGTAAATATAAATGCCTAACCAGATTTTGATAATTTTTAGGGTGAGATACTAAAAACTAAGCTATATTCAAAAAAGAAAGAAAAGAATGAAGTAACACATGTAGAATCTATAAAACAGTGGCTGTTTTGTCCACCACACCTTAGGAAGCACACAATAGGACTCTAGTTGGCTCAGAGATGGACAACCAAATTGTGTGATCAAAGATATCTATGCTCGGAGGGAGAAGTTTGAAGTCGAGGTCAAAAATGCATGGAGACAAGTAAAAACAAAAGTAGGTTCCCCTTTTGTCCCTTGGAGATACAAGAATTAGGAAGAAATAATATCAGAATCTATCATGTACACAATGGTTAAACTGTGCTTTATGACAGATTCTGGAATGATAATCTAAGAGGCCTTCTAATACAATTAAAAAAAAGAAAAGAGAGAGAGAGAAAAGTAGTGAAAAAAAAGAAAGAATAACTAGCCTACCTTCAGAAAGTTTACACATGATAAAGGCATTACCTTCAGCCATTATTTAGCTAAACATAGCTTTTTGTTTGAAGTTTAGACAAATAATCCTCAAATTTCTGTGTGCATAAGATGAGTTTGTAAAATGGAGAATGTTAGACCCAAATCCCACAGGTGCTGATTCAGCAACTTAGGGATAGAGTTCTAAAAGTCTACATTTTTAAAAGTTCATCAGTTAATTGTTATGTCCATTTGTAGAAATATCAAGTTAGATAAAGCCTGGATTACATATCCACAGTTAGGAAAAGAATCCCAAAAAAAGCTTCTTCCACAATCTAACTTTTTGAGGTTCATAGCACAAAAAAATAATATATCTTCCCCAAAACAATCTTCAATAATATTATCAAAGTCAAATTATTAGGTTAAGCAGACTATGGACCTGGAATTACTATCATTTTTATTCAGATGTGTTCATACTTTTAACTCACTTTCAAAGCAATATTTAATTTACTAACTATCTCAAATCTGAGAACTGCTCAATGATAACCACTTTAAGCTTCAGACAAATTGACAAGCTGTCATCTTCTGATAGTGTTGGTAAACATGATTGTACTACCAATATCTGAATGCCCATTAGTCTTTGGTACCAGCATCAGAGTTTTGGTGATCAGTCTTGTGTTTGTTTTTGTAGTCTCCTATTTTCAATCTCCATGGGCATTTTATCAAACGTAGGCCCCACCAAACACTCTACAATTTCACTCTAGGACTTTATTTCCCAATGGCTCTTACAGACTACTGAATTCTAAGAAATTGTCTTTGGGTTGAGAACCTGAAGCTTTGGTAAAGGCCTAATATACTAGTAGTTTGGTGATAATAACTCAATTATCATGCATTTTTTGGTGGTAGTTGTGGGAAGGATCATGTAAAACAAATCATTTCAGGGTAAAATTCCATGAATACCACATAGGTTAAGTCAAGAACAAAACATTGAGAACTTACACTTGGAGCACTGTTCTAGGGTCCCCAACTTCACCTCCATCACCAATTGTCAAGGTATCATAGCCAATCTCTAGATCAAATTCTTCAAAATTTATTTGGATAACCTAGCAATAAACAGAAACAAACATCTCAAATGTATTATATTGTATAATAAAAACAAAAGAAATAAGTGACAGAAAAAGATTTAAAACGCACATTTATACACAGAATCATAAAAATGACTTCTTTCCTATTAACTGGACTTATTTTTAATATATATGTGGATTTCATACCAGAGTAGCAGATGTCAGACTATATCTTAATTTCAAACATTATATCATAACATGCCTTTTACCTGCTGGGTTTTACTTTCTGTAATAAGTTTTCAATGAAATGGCAAGGCTTCTGTTCATAGGATACTTTTATCTGAAGCATTTGAAGCATGATTAATGCAAATCTACTTTGAGAAGGCTTTATAAAAAGTACATGTAGGTGGGGAGTGGTTTTCCATATATTTGCATATATTTTTAGAAAGCTGAGATGGAAAAGCCACAGAATGTGCTATTTTCATTAAATAGTAAAGCTTAAAAAAGGTTAGAGCTAAATTTGAATCTAAATCACCAGATTTAATGGCATAAGGTTTGGTTTTGTGTATCCTATGGTGATGGAATTCCTCAAATACATTAAAACATGCTGGCAAAACTGGGAGCATGGTATTTTGGGAGATACTTTAGGCCATGGCATATAATTTAATGTTATTTCTTTCTAAAATACACTCACATATTTAAACACTGTTTACACACCTATGCAAAAATGTATATCCAATTAAATTCCAGTATTTAAATTGTTGTTGTTGTTGTTATGTGCCGTCGAGTCGGCCCCGACTCATAGCGACCCCTCCTTGGGTTTCCGAGGCAGTATCACTACGGAAGTAGGATTGCCCAACCTTCCTTCCGAGGAGTGGCTGGTGGGTTTGAACCGCCAGCCGTCTGGTTAGCAGGCAAGTGTCTTAGCCACTATGCTACCAGAGCTCCCAGTATTTAAATTAGGAACCCAATATAATAATAATGAACAATATATTTAACAATCATTACAGAAAGAAATTACATATATGCTTTCCTGTATATAGTCACATCTGAGCAAAACACAATTTATAATAAAGTATATTCACTACTTGACAAAGAAAATTAATGTCTGAGATTACCAATCTCCTTAAAGAATTAATGAAAAAGACATATTTGTAATCATTTTCTTGTATTTATCACATTGGTGTCATAAATAATTCTGAAACAATATATTTTACATCCAGGCTTTTTTGAACTATATGACATATACTTTTTTTTTTTTTTCAACTTTTATTTTATTTTATTCTTTTCTTGATTACTTAATGATTATACATTAGCATTTACTAAAGCTATTGTTTTGACCAAGTTTAATGCAGCATATATACAAACCATTGAATTATACATCTTACATGGTCATAGTTAAAAAAAAATAGCTTCTTACTTTTACACACAGTTAAATATAAATACTTTTAATTAACAATTACTTCTCAATGGACATTTAGGGTAGGCTGTTCTAATTTTTTATTGGTATATGCAACACAGCTTTTAGCAATACCAAGCATCTTCTTGTTTAAATGTGCAAGTATATCTAAAGGCTATATACTTAGGATAACAATTGCTGGGTCATAACAAAGCAAGACTTCAGGGACATAGTGTTCACCAACATCAATTTAAATGCTCACAACTTGTATACACTAGATTTCTTAATTTCTACCAATCCATGCAGTATAAAAAAGACTGCATTTTGCATTTGCATCATTACAATTAAGAATCATTTAATATATATATTTGTCTTTTGCATTTTATTTTTCTGTGAAATAATTTATTATGTTTTCAACCCTTTTTCTCCTTGACTTCTTTCCTGCTTTGTTTTGATTCCAAGGATTCCTTATAGTGGTGTTTCCTAGTTTTTTTTTTTTTTTTCTATTATCACAGCAATGGAAAAAAATAGTATTTGTAAGATACAATAAGGTGAACGGTGTAGTTTCTTGGCCCAGGCCCTTTCCTGTCACCCTGTGAACTGAGATCAGTATCTTAGTTTCACCTGTAATCCATTAATAACACCATTGGACTTGGTTCACCAGTTGAGATATAGAAAACAGAAATTCTGATGATTGGACTAGTGAAAAAAAAAAAAAACATGATAAATGTCAAAGAAATTGGACTTGTCAAGGATTTCATTCCACTTGGATCACCAATAAAAACCTATGGAAACAACAGTTAAGAAATCAAATGACATACTGCATTGGGCAAATGTGCTGCAAAAGCCTCTTTAAAGTGTTAAAAAGCAAAGATGTTACTTTGAGAACTAAGGTGTGCCTGCCTCACACCATGATACTTTCAGCCGCTTCATATGCGTGCAAAGACAAGACAATGAAAAAGGAAAACCAAAGAATCGAAACACTGAAATTGTAGTATTGGCAAAGAATATTGAATACATCACCAACTTCCAGAAAACAAATCTGTCTTGGAAGTATAGCCAGAGTGCTTCTTAGCAACAAGCAACTATGTCAAGACTTCTTGGTTACTTTGGACATGTCATCAAAAGAGACAAATTGCTAAAAACAGATATCATGCTTGGTAAAGTAGAGTGTCACTGAAAAAAGAAGGAGACTCTCCATGAAATGGAATAACACAGTGGCTTCAACCAGAGGATCAAACATAGCAATGATTGTGAGGATGGCACAGGAAGCAAATCAGAATATTTTGTTCTGTTATGGGAGCCCTGGTAGCACAGTGCCTAAAGCATTTGACTGCTAACCAGAAGGCTGGCAGTTCGAACTCACTACTCACTCCTCAGAAGGAAGATTGGGCAAACAACTTCCATAGAGATACAAACAAAACAAACAAACAAAAACCTTCACTGCTGTCAAGTCAGTTTGACTCATAGCAACCCCCCCCCTTGAGTTTCGAGGTGATATCTCTATGGAAGTAGATTGCTCAATCTTCCTTCCAAGTAGTGGCTGGTGGGTTTGAACTGCCAGCCTTCTGGTTAGCAGTCAGATGCGTAAGGCAGTAACTCAAGAAGAGGTTGCTATGAGTTGAATCAACTAGATGGCAGTGAGTTTGATTTGGTTTTGGTTATACATAAGGTCACTATCCGTCGCAGCATATTTGAGAGCACCTAACAATAGCAACCCACCAAATCAGATTTGCTTTGTATACTCTAGATACTCATTCTTTATATCGTATGTCTTGCGACACCTTCGTCAATTGTATGGCTTTTTTCTTTTTTACTTTGTTAAATCTTTTGTAAAGAGAAGTTGTTAATTTTAATGGAGTAGAAGTTGTTAATCTGTTATGAGTAACACTTTTTGTTGCCTATGACCCAAGGAGATAAAGTTATTTTCTTCAAAGGCTTTAGTCTTTGGGGAATTGATTTTATAAGATGTGTGAAGTAGAATTCGAATACAGTCCTCAAGATTCCTACCCTACGGTGTTCATGTCCTGGACAACCCCTTCCCCTGGAGTGTCAGCAGAACCCTGTGGATGAGGTGGGATATCACAGCAATGATCAGCTTACTTACATGTGCAAGGTGAAGGAGTGTTGCAGATATAAGCAGGGTGCGTAAATTATTGACTTTAAGTTAATCAAAAGAGATTATTTTAGATTGGCCTGACTGATTCGCTGAAGCCCTTTAAAAGAGGTTCAGATAAAAAACAAGGCAGAAGACACATTCCCTTGTTAGTTTGAAGAAATAGACAGCCATATTGTAGAGATGCCCAGTGGCAAAGAATATATCTGCCATTTTATTTTCTCATTTCATTTTCTCTGTATCTTTGTTTGGAAGTTATTTTTAGTATGTGTACAAATTTTGTTTTAAATTTCATTTTTTTCAAAAGACCTTTTCAGATATCTTTCCTCCTCTTCCCAAGGAAAACAAAACGTTCTCCCCATTTCATTTCATCTGACTTTTCTTTTCATGTATGTGTGTATACATGTATGAATTGTTTTTGAAGTTTCTTTTGATTTATTGTCAGCCAATAATACACTGAAAAACATGTTTATTGTCCACATAAAGGATCTCTTAGTATTTCAGTTGAAGGACTTCCAGAGTACCTCACTCTCATCTGTCAGAAGAGGAAATCCCATGATCCATTTTAACCAATCCATTTCACAGTAGATTTAGGAGTACGTTGCAGTTAAAATTAGGGAATGACTCCTTTTATATGATTTTCAAAGCCAATTAGGCTGGACGATCCAAATTAGGTGTCTAATAAATGGCTGATTGATTGATTGTTAGTTTTATACCAAACCTTTGATATTCATTATTGTATAATCATGTTCTCAAAAATTTGGACACTCATTTAATGGTAGATTTTATTTTGTCTCAAATATAACTGATATTCATGCATGTGTATATTCAACAGTGAGAATTCTACTTCATTATAAATTATGTGATGAATTAATTACTAACTATTCCAAATACTTTCATATAAGCACTTAGCCACTGGCCTGTCATTGAAAATTTAGACACTTATAATACTTCAAGAGTTTCCATGACACAAAATCACTGAGCAGCAAGAATAGTCTGATTAAATTTGTGAACACATTTGTTTTAATTTGATTCTTGTAGGCTTTGTTTTAACATTATTATGGGAATATCTACAAAGCAATGAAATCTATGCATCAAAAATGTAAAAGCTAACTACTTTAATTGGAATAGTTAATATAAATAAAACCTTATAGCAGCACTTCAAAATACTATATTGGTATACATTATAAAAATATTTAATAAAATGTATGAAGAAAACACAAGCAACTAAAATATAACAGAAAGCTTGTTTTCACAACTCAAAGCTCATAAATAACAGTGAGAGTGTGGTGTGAAATTTCCTTTAATTATAGACTCTCCTACAATATTTGGTATAGTCCCTATTTAGCACAAATGGGTAAGCACTTGACTACTGACCAAAAGGTTGGTGGTTTGAACCCAATCAGAGGTACCTCAAAAGACAGGTTCTACTCTGCATGCACAGGGTTACCATGAGTCAGAATTGACAACTAACAGCACCAGCAATATACTATGAGAGTGATCAAGTACCCATTTTACCCATTT